TTGATGGATTATCTTGTTGCTTTATGGTTTTGAGAGCGAGTGTTAAAAAAAAGTTGGATCTTGTTTCCGCTGGTGTCTCGTTTTGTTACAGAATAGTGAATACAAAGGCATTGCCAACTCAAGATCATCTGGCATTAGCACCTGGTATGATGCGACTAACTAAATGAAGAATAAGCTATAGACACATAACATGCTTGATATTAATTCCATACAGATGGATATAAATATATCGTAAAATGAAATACTATATGATATACTATATATATATGAGTTCAAATTTGCCGAATCATTAATGGTATAATCTTCTACATTATGGGTCTTCTTGTTCTGTTATCTGGTTTATGTTCTCCATGTGATATTCAGACCAAATGACTATGAAATTACGTCATTACTGGTAAGGTACCTGGCAAATGGATAGATATGGTAGAATTTGAATGGGTCAAAACGGGTAATAGATGGATCATAATTCAACTCGTCTAAAGTTTGACTATTGATTAGGTAAAAATGAGTCAATGTGACACAACCTCTCATCTTTGTTTCACAAGTTCTCCCAAACTGATATAATTTCAATCTCAAATTTTGATTTTATATGCTGAGGTTTGGGTTATGACCGACCCATTAGGTTGCATTTTTTTACACGTTTACTAGACATCATTTCAAATTTAACTCGTTAGGTCAAGTCAAAAGATGGATCATAAATCATCTCGTTTAAGCTTAGACAGGTTGGGCGAATTGCAAATAATGGATTGATTTTGTCACCTCTAGATTCTTATAATTGTTGGTTCGTAGTCCATGTGCATTGGCTAGAACATGATAACCTAATTCCGATTAAAAAGAAATAGAAGGTGGTGTATTTAAATGGAATACACTGGTTTCCAGTTTGCATTCGTTTGCTTTTGCAACTAGTGTGAAAGATGTATCCTTTTCAGTTCAAAGTGTTTGCAACTATCGATATTTGGATTACATAGGAAATTTAAAAAAAAGTAGAATCTTGCTTCGGTCGATGTTTCCTTTATTACAGACTATAAGGGCATTGCCAACTAAAGTTTATCTGGCTTTAGTACTTGGTATGATGCGACTAACCAAATGAATTATAAGCTAGGAACACATAACGTGCTTGGTATTAATTTTGGTATATATAGGTGTCAAAATCAAATCATTTTCTTTTTGTAACTCTGCCCCTGCCATCTAAGTTAAAACGGATCGGTTGTAACTCGTTTGCTGATTTGATCTAACGGACTGAACGCAAAATGACGCGTTAAGTTATTGGGTCAAAATAGTGTAAAATATATAACTCGAATCGAAATATGTCAAAGATCATTTTAACTTGAAAGCAGGGGCGGAGCCAAGGTAGCGGAAGGAGATTCACCCTTTGCCAGAAAATTACGCTCTTTATACAAGTCATCTCCAAGAGAGATAGTTTCAAATATTTTGGGTCTATTATACAGAGTAACGGGGAGATTGACAAGGATGTCACACACCTTATAGGAGCGGGGTGGTTGAAATGGAGGCTTGCTTCTGGTGTTTTGTGTGACAGGAATGTGCCACCTAGACTTAAGGGCAAGTTCTACAAAGCGGTAGTTAGATCGGCCATGTTGAATGGAGCCGAGTGTTGGCCAGTCAAGAAATTCCATGCCCAGAAGATGAAAGTAGCATAAATGAGGATGTTGCGATGGATGTGCGGGCATACCAGAAATATAAGATTAGGAATGAATATATTAGGGACAAAGTGGGTGTGGCTCCTGTGGAAGAGAAGTTGCGGGAATCGAGGCTAAGATGGTTTGGTCATGTAAAGAGGAGACACATTGATGCCCCGGTTAGGAGGTGCGAGAGGTTGCCTGTGGCGAGTCAGAGGAGGGGTAGATGGAGGCCTAAGACGAACTGGGGTGAGGTGATTAGGCTGGACATGACTCTGCTCCAACTTACCGAGGACATGACCCTCGATAGAAAGGTGTGGAGGTCAAAAATTAGGGTGGTGTGTTGATAGACAATCTAGAGTTTTGCCTTGTCTGACTAGTAGTAGTTGCACTAGTCGGGTACCTTCTTATTCCTAGTCCCTTGTTTATATACGGTATGTCAGTATTAGCAGTAGAATTGGCACTATTCTTGTAGTTTCATATCCTTGGATCTCTGTCATTATTCGTTGTATTATTTGCTTACACTGTCTTATTACATTATTGTTGCTATTGTTTTTGATTGCTCCATTTTTTTACATTCTTGAGCCGAGGATCTTTCGGAAATAGCCTCTCTATCTTTATAGGTAGGGGTAAGGTCTGCGTACACACTACACTCCCCAGACCTCACTTGTGGGATTCCACTGGGTTGTTGTTGTTGTTGTTGTTGTATACAAGGTTAAAATTAATTATTATGATATGTATTAGATGTTGAATAACTTGACTTTTTCGCGTATTTACTTCTTTATATTTTAAATCTCCTTCGTAAAAATTCTAACTCCGCCACTACTTGAAAGTTGGAAGAACTTAAGTTAATGACTTAAGAAAAATGCATTAGCTTTTATATATTTTCACTAAAAGGAAAATAAAAAGGATGATATTTTGAATCATTTTAAAAAGGTTGAATTATGACCCGTTGATTGATCTATAATGACCCAACTCATTTAAACCAAACAAATTCTGGACGAACTGGGTGGGTCAGTATCTGTTTATGGAGTTTATCCCGCTTTAACTAAACTTTTTAATTTATGCTGCGTGAAAAGAAATAGAATAAGGTGTATTTAAATTGAACCTGTAGGTCTTGGTTATGCTGACTTATATTGGAATACTTAAATTAGATAAGAACAGCATAATTTGGAATGTTTGAACAGGACCTATATTCGCATGCAAATGAACGAGAGTTGCCAATCAATTGTGTCTCCGTCATCTCCGCCCTATTGTGTTGGTCCTGCTCCAATCAGTAAAAATTTTATTATGAGATTTAAAATCAAGAAATATATTTTCCTACGGCCTCTTCAAGTCAATACTCATATCCCATTGCTACGAATACATACATAGTGACATAGTTCTACTGTCAAAACATTAAAAGTTTTGACTTGTTGACTCACTTTGCTACTCCTTGGCCCATTTGTCTGTCATATTTGAATATTCAAATGCCAGTTTAAGCAAATTCAACATAAAAATAGGAGCATAGATAATTCATCTTTTGGAAGTAGAATATGTACATCTAAACTGCACAAGAACATACAAGAATAGACAATAAGATTGTAGACAGTTAAAAATGAAGAACATTAAGAAAACAAGCAGGCTAAGTAAAACAACTAAACTTAGTTCGACTCTCCAGTCTCAATTGAGCTTGAGCAGATACCAAGTTTTAGGTCTCAAAAAGCAAGTAATGTGCTTTTTAATAAAGGACCAGAGGGTCCATTTGGACATTTAATATCCCAGTAAGTTGTATCCGTAAATCAAGCACAAGTTTCCATTAACAGATTGATGGAAAAGCTTCACAGGAAAAACCTTTTCAATCTGCATTTGATACCCAATCGTGTAGAGTATGATTACGAGTAACTATGGCAATGATGGGGGGGTTCTAAGGAAAAATGGAAGAAATGGTGTCTTTCCACTCATTTCCCATCAAATATATTGGTGTCTTTCTTACTCTCTTACTTCTTTGGCAGAACTTATTTTGCTCTTATAACTATGTTTCTTGACGCCTTTGGAATCATATGCTACATTACTGACCATCCTTCACAAAATTTAGTTATCTTTCTGATTTGCCAAGAGAGAGCGAAAAACGAAACCTCACACTTTACAGGACGGCTCACCTCAAGAATCCTATGCATGTTCAAAGAGCACAGCGTGTTGATCCAAGCCACATAGATACTCATCTCGAGCTCCGTATTGTACGTTAACCTCAGTACACTTCACACCCACCCAATCGTGAGAAAATGACGATTCACTAAAAACTTCTCCTTTTGTTTTGACGACTAGTCTAAAAAACTTTCACTTACTCGGTTTTTTTGCGGGAAGGCCCTTCTAGAATTACGTTTAACGTCCCTTTATGACTTTCCTGATCGGCGCCTCGGGTCGGTAGCTGGGCTCCGGGGCATTGTAACTGGCATGTTAAAGTTATGTCATAGTTGGATACAACAACAACAACCCAGTAAAATTTCACAAGTGCGGTCTGGGGAGGTTAGTGTGTACGCAGACCTTATCCCTACCCCGAGCGAATAGAGAGGTTATGTTCATAGTTGGATACAATTTCACTGCCAATTCTACTTATGTGGGTTCCGTATCAAGATTGTACTAATAAGGAATGCTTTTAGAGTTGTCGCAGTACAGAACAATATAGTACTAGACATGAGATTTATCTTCCTAAAAGCAAAACCTTTTCAAGTAAGCGAATTCATTTTGGACCCTGCAGATTCATTCCATTTCCTATTCAAAGATCGACCCCTTAATATTGAAAGAAAACTAGAGCATTTTATCCATTGGTAAATGAAAATTCGAGAGCATTTTATCAGAAAGAGAAAGCGCAGGACATGGTTCTGAGGTTGATCTTGTAGAGATGATCGACCTGACAAACATGCCAATAGTAGATGTATGGCATGAGTAGCAGTGCTATATATTTCCCAAGTACACTATATATTTATTGCATTAATATAATCTGTAATGAGAATCTTAATGAATTGTCTTTGCATGTAAACGTCAGTATTATAAGAATGTTCAGTGCAGAAATCCTAACCTTAACAGAAGTACCTAACAGCAGACTAAAGATTGTGGGAACGCTAGACCCCCTTCTTTCTTGCTTTCGTTGTTTGAACACCAATGCTTGAAGATAACGAACAACTCTGGAGTTCATTTCCTTTGTTATGCAACAACGTCTATCATATGATAGACCTCTAGGTTTAAGAAACTTCTTAAACTTAGGAAGGGCAATTCCCCTTACAAATTTCCTAGTTGCAGAAAACAATCAAATCAACAGAGACAGCAGATGTAAGCCACAAAATAAGCCTAAGGCACACAAGTAATCGAACATCATCCAAATTAGGAGACCATGGGTTCATGTTAAAGATTATCTTTTTCCAAATCAAAAGAACACTGTTCAGAATCTTTTCTTTACACTTTCAACATTATTTACCCCGTCAACGGTCACAACATGATCTCAGAAGACATCGAGAGCAAAGCCAAAACCCAAATGATGCTATCAGCAGCTATGCGAAGAGAACATCGTGCCCAATTTACAAGCCATTTCTCAGGAAAAAAGAATGAAACAGCATACAATGAAGAAACAAAAACAAACAAGAGCTATGAAGAACTTGTACTTATCCGTGATTGACTGATATCATCATCCGAATTAAGCAACTTCTCCCAATCAACTTCCTCCTCCTCTTCATCCTTCTGCCTCAACACCTCCAATATCTTTCTAGCCTTATCCTTGGCCCGCTCACTTCCCGTTTCCTCAACTTGTATCAACAACTCCTCCGCAGCAGCCTCCTTTGCCAACCCTTTAAACCTTAACCCACCATGACTTAGACCATACAATGCAGCAATACAATTCTCACGACTCGACTCCGAATCAAACTCTCCCTTTCTCAACATACTAACAAAACATTCCACTGCACCCCCATCAAGCATTGCTGCTCTCCCTTCAGAACTTGCAGCCAGGTTACAGAGTATCAACATGAACCGACCCGTCATATGACCCGTTTTAACCATACCAAGCAATGCCTGAACAGCCCCGAGTTTCACCAACTTAGCCCTGTTACTCTGAACCAAAGAAAGATGATACAGAGCCAAAGCAGAATCATGCCGAGTCCGCTCCGATTCGGAGCGAAGCGCATGAAGAAGCGGAGGCAGTGCTCCTAATACCCCAAGTGCAGTCTTGTTCTGATCATCTAACGCTAAACTGAAAACTGCACCGGCAGCATGTTCTTGTGATTCTTGAAAACCCCCTTTTAACACATCAATTAAAGGGGGAACAATTCCAGAACGTATAATATTCACCTTATTTCTATTCTCTAATGACAAATTCACCAATGCAGCTACTGAATTAACTTGTATTGAAGCATACCTTGATGTAATAAGTACACGTAGAGCTGATAATACACGAGGGGTGCAGAACTGGACCCGGGTTTCTTCTCGGGTTCGGGTCAACTTCCTAAAATAGATTACAGCTTCTTCTTGTTCAGAAACTTGGGAGCTTTTTAATTTACCAACAAGTTCATCTTCTTCATAAGAATTAGTGTTCAGGGTATCCACGTCAGAGGCTGAAGATGAAGAGTAACAAGAGGGACGTGTGGGCCCACTTCTTGGAGTCACAGATTCCTCTGAACTCGTTGAGATATGACTCAGTACTCGATTTCTTAAACTACTGAGATTTTGTGCCTTTTGGGTGTGCATTAATGAAGAAACGAGGTTCTCAGCAGTGAGGAAATTGATGGGTTTTGGAGGGTCAAGAAGAGAAGAACGGCAAAAGTTGAGGATAGTGGATTTTAGAGCCAAGTTTGGAATAATAGTGGAGAAATCAGGAATAGAACCATCTGGAAGAATAGGTGTAAAAGATAGTGATTTGCAGGCATGAACACAGTGGCGTTCAAATGTATGACCAGAAGAAACAATTACAGGATCAGCCATTAGAGAACCAGAAATTGGACAAATAAATTCTTTAGGAAAAGATGGTTGCTTTGATGGAGACTTGTGAAATGAGATTCTCCACCTCTGTTTGCTAGTACCCATGTTAATGGTGTTTTCTGTGAAGTGAAAAAAGTTTCAAGATTCAATCTTTAGCTTCAGATATGATTGAAAAAGATGTGGGGTTTATGGAAAAGGTCTAAAAATTCAATCTTGAGCTTCAGATGAATCAATCTTTAGCTTCAGATATGAATGAACAAAATATTGGGTTTATGGAAAAGGTTTCAAAATTCAATCTTCAGCTTTAGAAGTTGAGTTAAATGAAGCAGGGAGAGGGTGTAACTGAATGCAGGAGTTTGACAGAGAGTTGTTGAAGGAAACATGATTGACAGATTGAGATTTGGAGAGAGGGAGAGGAAAGCGAGTCAGAGATTTTGGATGTTTCATATTTTGTCGAACCATTTTTTGTTTTTTACTGTCCTTTTAGCAATGTACTGCAACTGATCTTTCAACTCAAATAATGTCTTATTATGCAGGCGTTTGGAAAAATGTTAGTTTTATGAGAGGGAGAATTCTTTTTTTGAAAATTTAAAAAAAAAAAAAATCAAAAACTTGCAAAATTTTACTGGTAAACACATTTTTGAAAAAAAAAATCCGAGAAAAGGAACAAAAATTTAGTGTCCTATATTACTCTATCACATATGTTTTTAGCATCTTGATTCAGAGATTTGGATGTTATTGTTAGTGATGTTACTATTAGGATTGAGGAGGGAGCTATGTTTCATATTTTGTTGGACAGTTTTGTTTTTACCTGTCCTTTTGGCAATGTAGTGCAATTAAGCTTCAACTTAAATGGTGCCTTAAATTTGAAGATAGGTTTCCTTCTGTTTTTATTATATATTACTCTATCACATACTAGTATGCCTTAAATTTGTATTTTCTCAGCATCTTGATTCAACATGGGTTGTCTTTTACTCTGGTCACCTGATAATTCATGCTATATTTATACATTTTTATGGTTTTGTTTGTGATTATTGTTATTGGACCAAAACAACAACAACAACAACTACCCAGTAAAATCTCACATAGTGGGGTCTGGGGAGGGTAATGTGTACGCAGACCTTACCTCTGCCCCGATAGGGCAGAGAGACTGTTTCCGATAGACCCTCGGCTCAGAAAGACGGAAATAAAAAACAAGAANCATCGTGAACGCGATGCTTCCTCAGACTAAACCTTCGCGATCGCGTTACACCACTCGCGAACGTGATGAATAAAAATGCCTCAAGCCCAGCTGACCAAATTACTCTACGCGAACGCGTAGACTCACCAGCGAACGCGATGCCCAAACAATCAGCCCTTTGCGAACGCGGAGCCTCCCTCGCGAACGCGAAGGCTAAAATTCCAGCTTTCACCTGCTAACCCTTCGCGAATGCGAGGGCCTACTCGCGAACGCGAAGGCCATTTCTCTGCAACACTGATCAGCAATTTTCTGCAATTCCAAACAACATGATATGGTCCGATTGACCACCCGAAACTCACCCGAGGCCCTCGGGACCTCAACCAAACATGCCAACATATCCCATAACCTCATTCAAACTTGTTCCAACCTTCGAAACGCTCAAAAAAATATCCAAACACCAAAATCACATCGGATTCATGCGTAAGAATTTCAAGAACTTCCAAATTTCGCTTTTGATCAAAAACCCAACCAAACCACGTTCGAATGACCTGAAATTTTGTACACCCGTCACAAATGACGAAACGGAGCTACTGCAACTTCCGGAATTCCATTCCGACCCTTATATCAAAAGCTCACCTATCAACCGGAAAACACCAAGATCTCAATTTCGCCAATTCAAGCCTAAACCTTCCACTGACTTCCAAAATGCATTCCGATTCCGCTCCTAAGTCCCAAATCACCTAAAGGAGCTAACCAAATCATAAAAATTCCGATCCAAGATCATATACAAACAAGTCAAATCTTGGTCAACCCTTTTAAATTTCAAGCTTCAAACTGAGAACTGTTCTTCCAAATTCATTCCGATTACCCTGAAAACCAAAACCAATGATTAACATAAGTCATAATACATCGCACGGGGCCAGTCATGCCCGAGAAATGACGAACAAAAAGCAAAAGCTCAAAACGACCGGTCGGGTCGTTACATCCTTCCCCACTTAAACATACGTTCGCTCGAACGTGCCCAGAGTTGTTCCAAAAGCCAACCAAACGCTTAATAACATTACCATGCATATACCCGGGGGTGATCCCACGTCACCCTATCTCCTATAGGTCCGATAACACAATGCAACTGAAATTTCACATTCCCACCTAGCCCATAAGCCTTAGAACCACATTTCCACTTCCGAAAATCCTCCACAAGATCAGAATCTCATATCTATACTCTGAATAAGCCCGAACCAGCTGTGATAACCCATACCTGCAAGCTCAGGTGCAATTACATGATATACCACCCAACTCAAACACTTGTAGCGATAACTTCTAATCACAACAATTGCACACAACAACCGAACATCGATAGGAAACCTCTTATCAACTAAAGTCTCACTCTAACACTTTCATATACTGCCAATGATAAACGAAACACGCAGTAAGCCATAACCGTTTTCTCAGATCAACCATTCATGAAGCCACTTCTCCTTTGGCGAAGACCATAGCAAATTTCTGCACCAAACCTCGATGTTATCCTTCCAACATGCTGAAATCAAGTCCGTTTGCAGTCATTAAAGATCCCGACGATCTCATCCAATCCAACACAACCATTCTGGTGACATTGACACATCAATACGGACTAAAGCCACGACTTGTGCAATCCGTGCACCAATAAATCACAATCCGAACTTACTCAAATCATAAAAAAATGACTCAAATGAATGAGCTTTACCGCAAGCTCACCAGCACCACCACAACGCAAGGCTGAGAACCCGTCTCACATCATAGAAACAGAACACACGAATCTAACCCGCAAGGTCATACCTCCACATAACTTCGCTGCAATGCACGACCCTATTCAGACACTGGTCCACTTGAAACACCTCAAGTCACTCTGCTCGAAATTGACGACCACGCGCAATTGATGTCTAGAACCAAAACAACTCATCATACCCACGGTGAAGCAAATACATAATACCACATAACCCGAAAGGATATAACCGATACGCCATCTGCCGAGCCATACCCAGTACTCTTCTCACTCGACTTCCACTATGAAATCCCAATGGAACCGCACCATCTGTGCCTATAACCAACAAATTATAACGTCTTGCAGCACAGAAAAGTAATCCGTAGATCACCTCAAAACACTAATAGCTCAATAACAACCAAATCAACACATCCCTCACCAATAGCGACTCGAAGTCAACAAAGCCGTCTCGATGCAGAACACACATCCAAATAGGTCTACCAATGAACCACACATCAACCCTAGTCACACACAATAGATAAATAACCCTCCGAAGGTTCACAATAACTGAATCATAGCACATGCTATCATCTGACTATTTACCCACATCTTTGCCGTCCACAACCACGAGCTAACCTGTATATGAGAACTCCTAGTCTCCAAGTCCATAAAGCACACGAATTACCATATCTGATCCCCACTCTGCCGCTTGAATATACAGCACACCTCTAATACTCAATCATCTCCTGAGAGGTACACCTATAATTCTTCTGAGCCATTAAAAGAACTCGAATATCACCCGACGATCGGACAAGATAGTGCTGCAATACCACTAAAGCATCCATAACTCAAACACATCGACCTTTCTGAACCGTATACCCTCATCAAGCCACACCAATCAGTGATCTCATTTATCTAGTCACCTGAAGTTGCCCATGCTATCTAAGAATTTGTGACCTCCCTTTCAAATCTGAACCGTGACCTTACACATGCAAATCTCAATCCTACACAACATACCGCATAAACCGTACCATCCTAGGATAACCACGAGAACTTTATATCCCTTTCGAGCCACAAGCAACTATGTACTCCACTAGCCAAGAACATCCCATTGATCCCATCTAGAAGCAAATCACTATACATCCAATGCTCCTCACGCCAATAGGAAAAATATACCTCTCTATCTGTGGTGGGAACCATCTAGAGCTCTCCAAATTCCATTTGCACAACACTAGATCGTCAGGACTGAATCCTTCTAACTCAACCGAGCTATGCAGGTCACTAAAACTCAAAAGAATTGCCGCGAAACACCTGTAGAAACTCATAACCTCCTAAGCATCCAAGAACTAATCATATCCTTACCATACCGACTCGGCCTACTACCAAGCTACCCCATCTATCCGAGTTCCCTCATGATTTACCTTCAACTTGATACTCCTTCTTGCTATAACATCACAATTCCTCAACCCAGACTTACCACACAAGACCCAAGCATAAAGCCACACCGTCCTACGGTCCATAAGCCGCTGAACACTCTCTAGATATTCCTAACAGCACCACGGTCAAAATGCTTACCCTGAGGAGACTTCCTACCATTCCAAAGCCATTACCTTCACCTTTCTTATACTGATATATAGAATCCCATAATTGATATAGAAATACCACAAGTCTTGACATCTTCCAATGAAAACTCAGTTTCTTACCGCTTATACAACTTTAAAATACCCAAGTGTTACATTTAGAATCTTGAACACACTAGAACCATTCTCGAGAGTCATTCACTCTACTCAAACTGCAATTAGCCTGATCAAACGAACCGAACAACCTGTTCCTAATTAGCTCTCCGACACCGCAGAGTGTAACCTCATCCTAGAACAACCAAGCAACTTCCTGCTCTATGCACCGAGCAACCATTACCAATAACAACTCAAGACATTCCGTGATTCTCATACACCTATGAAGCACGAAATAACCTTTGTCAAAATTTTCCTTTACTCGAGACATCCTCGGTCTCAATCTCCGTAAGCCATAACTGATTCACCAGTATGCCTCAAACTGGAGCCAACATAGCACATAACCGCGCAACCAACTAAGCAATAGCAGACTCCCCCACTTGGCTCGATGCCATAGATCAAAATACACACAATAAGTCATAACGCATATACTCTATTGCTGCCACAATACCATAGTGAGATTAAACTCAATTCTTCATAAGCTCGTGAAACGCAGACCATCTAGTACTCTAAGTCTTATGCAAATCTCGCATTCACCCTCGTAACAGTTGAACCCCACTCTCTTAAGCGACCCAAATTCCAGCCTTCACCTGCTACCCCTTCGTGAACGCGAGGGCCTACTCGCGAACGCGAATGCCATTTCTCAGCAACACTGATCAGCAATTTTCTGCAATTCCAAACAACATGAAATGGTCCGATTGACCACTCGAAACTCACCCGAGGCCCTCGGGACCTCAACCAAACATGCCAATATCCCATTACCTCATTCAAACTTGTTCCAACCTTCGGAACGCTCAAAACAACATCCAAACACCAAAATCATATCGGATTCAAGCCTAAGAATTTCAAGAACTTCCAAATTACGCTTTTGATCAAAAACCCAACCAACCACGTCCGAATGACCTGAAATTTTGCACGCCCGTCACAAATGACGCAACGGAGCTACTGCAACTTCCGGAATTCCATTCCGACCCCTATATCAAAATCTCACCTATCAACCGGAAAACGCCAAGATCTCAATTTCGCCAATTCAAGCCTAAACCTTCCACGGACTTCCAAAATGCATTCCGATTCCGCTCCTAAGTCCCATATCACCTAACGGAGTTACCAAATCATAAAAATTCCGATCCGAGATCATATACAAACAAGTCAAATCTTGGTCAACCCTTTCAAATTTCAAGCTTCAAACTGAGAACTGTTCTTCCAAATTCATTCCGATTACCCTGAAAACCAAAACCAATGATTTACATAAGTCATAATACATCACACGGGCCCAGTCATGCCCGAGAACTGACGAACAAAAAGCAAAAGCTCAAGACGACCGGTCGGGGCGTTACATTAATCTGTATTGGTATCTCAGTAGGGAACTCCTTATCAAAGTCAAAATCTGCAGTCCAAGGCTTCAAAATGATAGGTCGATTATTAATAATGTAAGGTCCAGTACATAAAAATTCGTGCATATCATCAATAGATTTGAATTTGATGATGAAATACCCTTCCTCATGCATAAACAGATTTGGATTTGCTATTTTGTTCCACTTGAGATCTACATATCTACGCATGGCATATACCCTAGACAATCCCTACATAAGCAATTAGGGCTCCTTTCCATTTTTCAGTCTCACGATCCACATCCTCCTTTTCCAATTGAATAACAACATTTCCATCTACTAATTGTGGAGCAATATAAGACAGAGTCATACCATTCTCTACTGATCTGTTCTTTGCAAAGAGACTCGCCCATTTCTGTATTGGTTGTTGTACTGTAGCATGCAATACTGTTTCATTGGGTTTATGAGGTTTCTCTTCCTCGACTAGCTTTGAATCAACTCTGACTGTTCCTTCAACTTCTTTCAGCTTCAATTGAGCTAAGATCTGGGCTCAATTGAAGTTTCTTAGCAGTTGTTGTTCCTTTAGACGACGATCCTAGCTCTTTTTGATTCAGCTCACTCATTTGCACTGGTGTTACTTGATTTTGTTCATCCTCTGTAGTTTCCGGTTGCATGCGTCCTCTAGCTGAGCTTCCAAATGTGACTAATGGTAGTTTCCTAGGTCTGTCGCGTCCTCTTCCACGACCATGACCTCGCCCTCCTGCCATGGCTAATCACGCCGGCGTAGGTTTACTAACATGTGCCAAGAGCATGAGAAGAGAGCTTTTTTTTAATCCAATAGAGCATGAAAGTATTTTCTTTCATTTCAACAAAATGAGTATTTTCTTTTCATGATGTATACAAATTATTTTCTTTCAGTTGAACAAAATGAGTACTTTATTTTCATGTTGGAGAAATAGTACTTTCTTTTTCAACCAAAAAGAAAGAGTATTTTTTTTAGTTATGGAGCACAAATTTCATTGTTGGTTGCGGTAAAAAAGTAAAGCAATACATTAATTCCTTTAGATTTGTGTGAATTTTTAGAAGAATAATTAAATTCTTTGAAGAAAATAGAGTCATGAATATGTTGGGTATTTGGAGTGGGTGGTGGGGGTGGGGGAGGGGAGAGCAGAGGAAAGGAAACATAGGGACTTGAGGGAACGGGGATGAGGAGAGTAGCATAAAAAATATTTTCATTCACCAACCAAACAAGGGAAAATAAGTGATGAAACCACTCATTTTCCTTAAAAATCATGGAAAACATTTTCCTAAAACATTTTCCTTCATACCAAACACACCCTATATTATTTGTAGAGTCAAACGTTTTTTCTTTAATCACAAATTTTCATATACTCTTAAAGAATAACATGAATTATAAAAGTCAATATTACAGTTCTATATTTTCTAATTCTAATTATAATAAAAATCTATTTTAAAGGTGTTAAGAAATTAGTATCCAAATTGAAATCGGAATTGAAAGTATTACCCCCTCCTACAAACTCCTCCACTTCTCTTAGCTATTTCTTCTATATAGTTACTCCAACTTATCTGATCCTACTAATTAAATTGTGTACTCCCTCTTATATTTTTTGTTCATCATAACAACAATAACATAAAATGTTTATCATGTTTGATTTTTTACATATATTTTAAAAAGTATTATTTAAAAATAATTTAATTCTGTTAGTTTATTTATCTTTTTATCCTAATTTATTATTATTACTATTACTATTACTATTACTATTACTATTATTATTATTATTATTACTTTAGTTAGTGGGACCCAACGCGAAGGAATGGCAACGAACCATATCCTTATCCCGCGGATTACACACTATCGTCAACTGCCTTCCATCTTCTTGACTCAGCTTCCTCCGCCTTCCCAGCAGGAGGAAATTTAGCTCCCTCCACTTGCTATGGCTTTCTCTTCGCCACTATTCTCTCCCGTTAACTTCGCCTTAAACCCTAACTCTCAAATCCATCCTAAATGCACTAAACCCAACCGCCGGAACTTCTCCGTCTGCGCCATTCCGCCACTCTCCACTGCTACCGACATCTCGGCGGTCACCGGTCCGTTGGACGGAACGACTCTCGCCGTACTCGGCGGTGGTTCCGTGGCAGCACTTGCAGCTATCCTCTCGCTTGCCGACCCCGAGCGCCGGCGGCAGCTGCAGGCGGAGGAGGTCGGCGGAGGTGACAAGGAGGTAGTCAGAGAGTATTTCAACAACAATGGGTTTCAGAGGTGGAAGAAGATATATGGTGATACAGATGATGTGAACAAAGTGCAGTTAGATATAAGACTGGGACACTCTAAAACTGTTGAGAATGTGATGAAAATGTTGACTGAAGAGGGGTCTCTTCAGGGAGTTACTGTCTGCGACGCTGGTTGTGGGACCGGTTGTTTATCCATTCCGCTAGCGAAAGAAGGTGCTGTTGTATCAGCTAGTGATATTTCAGCTTCCATGGTCGCTGAAGCCCAAAAACAGGTGATCCTTCTCGAATAGTACTTTTTAGTTTTTACCGACAATATTTTCACATATATCCTCCAGTTCATTTTATGTCTGAGTTTGTCTGGACAGGAAATTGGATTAACAAGAGAATTGTCTGGGCACGAAGTTTAGGGAAACTTTTGAATCTTGTGGTTAAACTAAAGATGTATATAAATGTACCAAAATGCCCTTTGAATCTTGTGGTCTTTAACATGCAATGTGAGATGCTGAAATTAAAGAGTTACTAAATATGGATTATGAAACAAACTAAAAAGGAAGGTAAGATACATAAATTGAAACGAAGGAGTATAGTTAAAGTTGAAGGTCCAACGAGTTGAATCTGCCTATGCTTTTGCATCACATTCTGAGTACTCGTGGAATAAGAAATTTATTTGTGCTTCTCTTAGCTTGGACAAACTAATTTACAGCGTGGGAAATGCAATATCTTAGCTCGTACCTTTTCTTTTCATCGGCAGCTTTTATATTATCCTTTGGAGTATATCTTAGATTATATGATGAGCTTGGGTTCATCTTTAAGAAAGAAACTTGTTTTAGAAGTGTAATTGGTATTAGGATTATGGCTTTTGTGGAGTTGAGAACTGAGTAATACATCTTAATCTGTAATGAAGGCGCAAGAGGAGTTGTTCAAGGCTAAGGATGACCAGTCCCCGGCACCAGTAATGCCAAAATTTGAAGTGAAGGACTTGGAGAGTTTGGATGGGAAGTATGACACTGTGGTCTGCTTAGATGTTATGATACATTACCCACAAAGTAAGGCTGATGGTATGATTGCTCATCTTGCATCATTGGCTGAGAATCGTTTGATCCTGAGCTTCGCCCCAAAGACATTCTATTATGATTTGTTAAAAAGAATCGGAGAGTTGTTCCCTGGACCTTCAAAGGCTACACGAGCATATCTACATGCAGAGGCTGATGTGGAGAGGGCACTGCAGAAAGCTGGGTGGAAGATAAGGAAGAGAGGCTTGATTGCCACACAATTTTACTTTGCAAAGCTTATTGAGGCTGTCCCTGCTTAGGATTGAAAGGCAAGTGAGATCTCATTTGTTTGGCCATGTTTCTTTGCTGCTGGTTAGAGATTAGGAAGTTCGTTGAGTGTTTATCATGAATGCGTTATCTCACTCCTTCGTTTTCTAACTTGTATAATAGTTTATAATGTATCTAAATTGTGCTTCTGACTTGGAAATTTTTTGTTGATATTATTAATATATCATGAAATGTAAATGTTAGTCATCATTTGGTGGCTTTGATTCATTCCTTCTCGTTTTTACTTTTTGTGGTTCTCTGCCAGCAGCTCTGCTACATTTTTTCCTCAAATAATGCTTGATTGTTGTGAAATCCTATCCTTCCTTTTCTTAAGCTTCTATATTTCGTTCCATGTGCATTCGAAACATCAAGATAATATTTTGAACAGTTAGCGGCAGTAAAAGAAAATAAAAATAACAGTTTAAAAATTAGTTTAAGAGATAACACATTACATCAAAGTTGAGAATTGAACAGTTAAATGAATTTGATTTCTTAAAGTCATGTAAATGGTAAGATAATATTATTAGTGGAATGGTGTTAAACATTCAGGCTAAAGATGGAGATACTGTCATAAAAATTGGAGAAGAGGGAGTAGAATTTACTATCAAGTAATCCATTTTGGAGATGAGGTTGAACCTGTAAATTCTCAGTTATCTTGCCAAGTGTTTGCTTTCCTATGTCCAATTATCATCAATGTTTTTCAGATAGATTGATGCTAGTTAAATTCATCACAGAAGAGACCGTCATTCATAGTCGAAGGCAGATGTAAATGAGATCTTACGGTTGTCACTAAGTTGTGAAGATCACTAAGTAACCGGAAACCATACTTTCATAATCACTGTCAAGAACCTTGATAATTGATAAATAATCAAAACCTACTATTAAATTGTCATTATCTTAAAGTTTGTCTTTGTCCATCACATCTTATCAGCAACTCTTGCTAGTGCATCAGCAACCTTGTTAAGAGCAGCAATTAAGCTATCAGTGTGTTCCTTCTGCTGCTCCCTGTCCAGTTGACGGTTGTCGATTTGAGCATCAAGTTGTGCATGAAGCATATTGGTGTTTTGCTCCATAGTTTTCAGCAGTTTATATCCCAGACTAGTAGCAATACATCCATCTGGTGATTGTCTTCTTCTCTTCACTCCGTCTTTAAATGTGGAGCTTTTCCAGAAATCTGATCCAGGCTGTTCACCTTCAGCTGTACCTGAGAGCAATACAGAGGAATGTGCTTTACTGTTAAAATCTTTACGGTATAGCATTTAACTAAAGCTGTTATGGATAAGTTAATTTAAATGATGGCACTTTGAAATGTGCTATTGACTTAGAGTCATCTGAAAAATGATCCTTCTATTTTTATTTATTTATATAAGTTTCTGATCCTTTACTTGAACCACTCATCCTGTTTAGCTTACTGGAGTTATGGTTAAATTTTGACCGAACATTCGTGAAAATGCAAAATGTACTTTGTGTGTTACAAATCAAGCAAGAAAAAAGAGTTGGCGCAGAAGTCTGTGTGAGAGCAAGTATGTGCTAGGAAAGAGGGGGCTGCCAAGCTTTGAATTGTTGGTTATAGATGCGATGGACAGTGTTAGTATGAACCAAATCTCATATTAAATGTGTTACTTTTGATATTGCTCTGTCTTGTAGGAAATTCATAAAGTTGTATGCTTGTGAAAGGACCGGCTTTCTAACGGATTGTAGTTATCAGAAAATATTTATGCCACCAGGATAGAATTAGTACCTCCAACAATATATACAACAACAACTACCCAGTGAAATCCCATATAGTGGGGTCTGGGGAGGATAATGTGTACGCAGACCTTACCCCTGCCCCGACAGGGTAGAGAGGCTGTTTCCGATAAACCCTCGGCTCAGAAAGACGGAGATAAAAAACAAGAAAAGAGAATTCATTAGTAACTCCAGTAGAAACCGTAATAGTAACAGAAGCATAAAAACCAAAAGATGAATGACATGCAATAACAGTAACCAGAGTCTAAGGCCCGGGGCTAAGATAAACAGCAAGAATAGTGTGGGTTCGACATAAACTGCAAGCCATCTAAGATCAACCCTAATCCAACCCCACCTCACCCCCGGTATGAAGTAAGGAAAGCTCTACTACCCCTATCCTACAACCCTAATGCTTGACCTCCAGGCCTTCCTATCAAGGGCCATGTCCTCGGAAATCTGCAGTCGTACCATGTCCTGCCTGATCACCTCTCCCCAAGACTTCTTAGGTCTCCCTCTACCTCTTCTCGTACCCACCACGGCCAACCGCTCACACCTCCTCACCGGTGCATCAAGGCTTCTCCTCTGCACGTGCCCGAACCATCTGAGCCTCGCTTCCCGCATCTTGTCATCCACAGGGGCGACGCCCACCTTCTTCCGAATATCTTCATTCCTAATCTTGTCTATCCTAGTGTGCCCGCACATCCACCTCAGCATCCGCATCTCTGCTACTTTCATCCTCTGGATATGGGAGTTGTTAACCGGCCAACACTCTGCCCCATACAACATGGCCGGTCTAACCACAGCTCTATAAAACTTACCTTTGAGTATCGGTGGCACTTTCTTGTCACACAAGACTCCAGATGCAAGCCTCCATTTCATCCAGCCCGCCCCTATGCAGTGAGTGACGTCCTCGTCGATCTCTCCGTCCCCCTGAATCATCGACCCAAGGTACTTGAAGCTATCTCTCTTGGGGATGACCTGTGACCCAAGCCTCACGTCCCCGCCTACTTCCCTCGACTCAGAGCTAAACTTGCACTCCAGGTACTCTGTCTTAGACCTGCTCAATTTGAAACCCTTAGACTCGAGAGTCTGTCTCCAAACCTCCAATCTCTCGTTAACACCGGCCCTCGTCTCGTCAATTAGAACTATGTCATCAGCAAATAACATACACCATGGCACCTCCCCTTGAATATGGTGTGTCAAAGCATCCATCACCAAGGCAAATAAGAACGGGCTAAGCGCAGAGCCTTGGTGTAATCCCATAACAACCGGGAAGTGCTCCGACTCGCCTCCCACAGTCCTAACCTTAGTCTTAGCTCCATCATACATGTCCTTGATCGCTCTTATGTAGGCTACCGGCACGCCCTTCGCCTCAAGACATCTCCAGAGCACTTCCCTAGGAACCTTGTCATACGCTTTCTCCAAGTCAATAAACACCATGTGCAGATCCTTCTTCTTATCCCTGTACTGTTCCACCAACCTCCTAATAAGGTGGATAGCTTCCGTAGTGGAGCGGCCCGGCATAAACCCAAACTGATTGTCGGATATAGACGTCGTCTTTCTCACCCTCACCTCCACCACCCTCTCCCAGACTTTCATGGTATGGCTAAGTAACTTGATACCCCTATAATTGTTACAACACTGGATATCACCTTTGTTCTTGTACAACGGAACCACTGTACTCAACCTCCATTCCTACGGCATCCTCTTCGTCCTAAAAATTACATTGAACAACCCAGTCAGCCATTCCAATCCTACTCTACCCACACACTTCCAAAATCCAACCGGAATTTCATCTGGCCCGGTCGCTCTACCCCTACTCATCTTACGCAAAGCCCCCACGACCTCCTCCACCTTAATGCGCCTGCAATACCTAAAATCTCGGAGACTCTCCGAATGCCCCAAGTCCCCTAGCGCTATATCCCGGTCCCCCTCCTCATTTAGAAGACCATAGAAGTACGTCTGCCATCTCTGCTTAATCTGGGACTCTCCCATCAATACTCTAGCATCCTCGTCTTTGATGCACCTTACTTGGTCCAGATCCCGGGCCTTCCTCTCCCTCGCTTTAGCCAGCCGAAACAACTTCCTGTCCTCGCCTTTCTCCCCTAATTCCTCGTATAGACGGCTAAATGCTGCATTCTTAGCCTCCGTGACCGCCAGCTTTGCCTCCTTCCTAGCCACTATGTACCTCTCTCTATTCACTCTCCTCTCCTCCCCGCTTGTGCTCCCTGCCAACTTCGCGTACGCTACCTTCTTCGCCTCCACTTTACCTTCCACCACTAGTCTCCTTGGTGCCTGCCAGAAAAACCCTTCGATACACCTAGCACCTCTCTCGCCGCCTCTCTCACATAGTTCGTCGTCGTTGACCACATAGTGCTCGCGTCTCCACTACTCCTCCAAGCTCCCATAGCGGATAACCTCCCCTCCAACTCCTGGGCTTTATCCTTGGTTAAAGCTCCCCATCTAATCCTCGGTCGGCCACGAGCATGCCTCTTCTTCCTCTTCATCATAATGCCGATTTCCATCACTAAGAGTCTATGCTGAGTCGCGAGGGTCTCTCCCGGGATAACCTTGCAATCCTTGCACAACCCTCTATCACACCTTCTGAGGAGAAGGTAATCGATCTGAGTCTTCACCGCCGAACTTCGGAAAGTAACCAGATGCTCCTCCCTCTTCGGAAAAGTCGAGTTCGCAATCACCATGTCGAAAGCCTTAGCGAAGTCTAACAGCGAAGTACCTCCTCCGTTCCTATCCCCAAGGCCAAAGCCACCATGCACCTCGCCATAACTACCAGCAGCCGCCCCAATATGACCATTAAAATCCCCTCCAATAAATAACCTTTCAGTAGGTGGAATACTACGCACCATCTCGTCCAAGCCCTCCCAAAAGCGCCTCTGAACCTCCTCATCCAAGCCCTCTTGCGGCGCGTAAGCGCTAACTACATTGAGGGTGCACTCACCAATCACCAACTTAATAAACATTAGCCTATCATTCACTCGCCTAACCTCCAACAATATATATTGGATATAAATATTGTTCTATATAATAAAACCTAATACCAGAATTGTGGTACAGATTATAAATAAATAATCATGAAAAGATTGTGCTAACCATGATACAATGACAGGGCAATTCTCATCATGAAGGTTGTGTCCAACAATCAGATCAGTTCTGATGATAAAAAGTTAACTAGCTTCTGCGCTGAAGTAGCAAATTTTGAAGGACGCTTTAATTTACCTGATATAGGCGTGGGAGAGGGAATGGACTTTGCTTTTTTATCTTTGGCAATCCCTTCCTTCAGTGGGTTGCTTCCAATTTCCTCCATTGCTGGAAACAGAACATCATCTGCCATGATATATCCGTCTGTATGAGAAACTGCTTCAGCCTCTGTGTTCTCCTGCTCGTCCTCCTCTTCCTCTTGCTCTTCCTCTTCTTCTGCTGTTTCTATCCCATACTCAACTTTATCATCTGTAGTTATGGTTACCAGAGCTAGTTGGTATGCTTCTGCTGTGAATTCCTTCCCATCCAAGACATCATAGACTTCTCTGTCAAAAAAACCTGGTAGCTTTCTCTCTCGCCTTAGATCATTACTCATAATCCAATAAGATTCACTGCTTCCATTTGCTTGCGACTCCCATGCTTTAATTTTCCTGAAGTCACTGATCATGTTGCTCCATCGTTTTCTGCATTGAACAGGTCCTCTGTTTGCTCCATGTTGTCTGCAGTAAGAGGAGACCGAATTCCATTTGGGTTCCGGCTTGTCTGAACCGAACACAGAACTGGATTTACGCCCCCTATGAGTTCTTTCCTCTGCAATCTTTTTTCCTTCTATGAGAACAAGTGTTTCTTGTCTGGTCCATCGCGAGTGTCTTGGTGTTTTACTTTTGTCATCTGTGTCTTCAGTTGGTTTTCGCTGTCCATCAACCAAGTCAGCTAAAGATGTGGTGTTCTCATTCATCTCTGTTGAGCCTAATGTCATTGATTTTTGTTTCAGAGGTCAATTAGGGTGAGGTAACATTGCACAAAAGGGGACAGTATAAAGATCTTTGGGGATAGTCTATTGGTGGAAATTTGTCTATTGCCTATTATTGTGGGAGAGATTACTAGTTTCAAGAGATTTACCAAGTTGATTTGGTGATTGACTTCCAAACAAAGGCCTTAATTCTTTCTTTGGGGATTGAATTTTAAAGGCTTTCTTGTTCAAGCACTGGATTTCCTAAGAGACAATACCCATTAATTGGACAGATTTCTTAAAGTATATCTTATTGTAAATGCCCTTGTTGGATCAATGTGTTATGACTTGTGTCTCACAAATATTTCCTCAAAACTTACAGCCTTGTTTGATTCTATTATTCAAGAAGTTGCCATTTCAGAGAAGGGGATTGTAATCCTTTATTCGACCAAATACTGGTGCTCTATTTATTGCCGAATCGTTTAAGGCATCTCTATTAAAAGGTATATTGACCTTTTGCCGTGGGTTACTAGAATTTCCAAGTAACTGTTACTCACCAGCTATTGTATATTGACTGCTGCCACTAAATAATGAAGTTTTTACCTAATAAAGTGTGATTGGTATGCCAAAGTTTATTTTCAGATGTTTAAATGAAATTTTGAGTATTAAAGATTGATAATAGAGTTCAAAATGTTGGTTGAGACAAGTGATATGAAATTAAAAGTTAAGATAGTCGTAAGAAAATTCATACACAATGGGTCTTTTTCTCACGTTGGTACAACATTTGTAAAATTAATCTATGTTTTGGCATTGGACATACTAGACAGGTAGATTCAAGCATATGATATTCTTTGTTATCGGCACAGTCTCATTTTTTCCTTACCGTATGCACAAAAGGATCAGTTGGTTGATGTAAGTGTAGGATAAGTACTGAGTAATGGAAAGAAAGTGAAAAACAAATAAAGAAAATATGATTCATGTCCTAAACATATCAGTTCTGCTTAATACGTCCGTTAATTTGATAAAAATAAAATTTAGAAGAGTGTTTCTTAAATTAAAAAACAAAAGAGCCGATTAAACGCTGATGGGCATCTCTACTCAGGTATGGACACAATTACAGCATCAGGGAAAAAAAGGGGAAAACTTAAAGTACGAAAGTTGTCCCACATCGACTGAAGCAAAGGGAGACAAAGAGCTGGAGTAGTATAAAATGATATGAGGGAACAACGTCAAACATACTTACCTGGACGGGGTCCATGGCCTAGGTTGGTGACTTCCATTGCACTTTGGAAGGGCGCCCGCCTAAGGTCGGCTCAAGTGGTCGAGCCTACGTCATAATTTGTGGCAGAGGGGGCTTGCGTTCGCGCGGCCCCTACCCCAATTCATATCTTAAGCTCTTGGGCCCTTGTGTAAACTGCCTGTTGGGTCTTACGTAATTTGATAATAATCTAATCTCTTCTAAGTGTGTTTCACACTTGTAGCTGCTTAAATAATACTAAGCCTTTTTGGCCTTATGTAATTGGCAATCTTTAGGCCATATATTTGATTTGGCCCTAATCAAATTTGCACCAAATAACCAGAACTTATTTTCCTTAAGAATAGCAAAAAAAAAATATATTTTGTACCGCTCTCCTCTCCCAAAATGCACGCAGTACTCTTGTCTCCCCTTTCCATAAATGGTGCCTTTTCATTTATATTCTCTTTAAGTTTATTTATTAAATAATACCTCTCTCTGTCCGAAAATTTCTCCAAAACCTCTTCTGTATCTACTGTAGCAATGTATATAAAAGACATAAAAATATTAAATATAATTGTAGGAGTAAATAAATTTTTGATATACAAAAATGGAAAATAATTTTTGATATACACAAAGAAGGAAAATAAATTTATAATATATAAGTAAACACATTATTTAACATGTTATACACTACGATATACAGATAATATAATTATTTTTGTTATGATGTATATTGGTATAGAGACAACAATAAATTTTGGAAAACTATATTTATAAATTCATAGTTTAGATATATAAATAATGAAAATAAATTTTAATAATCATTTTGATATACACAAAGAACGAAAATAAAATTGTGATATAAATTTTGCATAATCATCAATACGTGTTTTGGCTATTATATATCAATTTGTATATCATACAAGATTTTTATTGATATACATAGACATGTACATTCATATTGTATGTCAGTGTATATCACACAATATTTTCACTGATATACATAGACATGTATATAAATATGAATGATATATATATATATATATATATATATATATATATATATATATATATATATATATATATATATATATATATATCACCATGTGTATCTGTGTGCATATTACATTATATATCGTGATATACATTATTAAATTTGGCATTATGGGTGTGTTTGGTATAAAGGAAAATGTTTTCTGTGGAAAATATTTTCCAAGAAAATGTTTTCTTGGAAAACAAGTAGTAATCTTATTCATTTTCTGGTGTTTGGTACGCAAATTAAGGAAACTGACTTCTCAAGAGTATTCATAAATAATTTAGATATAATAAACATGAAGCTATAAACTTTCAAACCAACAACCTTCCGAACCCACAAATTTCATAAACTTCCGAACCGCTAAAACTTTCAAAAACCGCGGAATTTCGAACCCGTAAACTTTATAATTTCTAAAACCCGTAAAACTTTCAAACACATAAAACCTCCAAACTCATAATTTTGGAACTTATA